ATACATCCTAAGGAACACATTGTTGATTATTTTCGTCATATGCAAGCAGCATATAGTACTCTTCCACAGACTTAGATGTAGCCACTACACACCTCGGCCTAAAGGACCACATCTACTCAGTCTGTGGCTTCGTGGTGTGGTGTGGTGTGGCACATGGACATTCCTGCCGGCCTCACGGGTGGAGGTGAGCGTAGACAAAGCACACGTATACAGTAATAAAATGCACGCCCCCTGGAGTACATGCCACACAGGAGGGCACAGAGGACATCGATGAAGCCATCACCTGTGGGCAGCACGTGGACAGAACTTACTGTCTGCCCGGCCCTCGATGCGATCTTCACATCAGGAAGGAATCGGCATTTTCCAAACATTGGAAGTTCTACGGATTAGACTACTTTATTGATACTTGTTTTCAATCTGGTCCCCGAGCCAGCCCTACCTTCAGCTTCTGCCCTCGTGGATGAGAAACAATTCTGCTGCATATTCACGGGAGACCACTGGGACTCCCTCCCCACCAGAACTGTAGGAACGATCGCGGGGCCTTTTTCTGTCCCAGCAGTTCTCTCTTATGTACTTATTTCTGGAGCCTGGAACCTAGTCTAAGCCTGCAAACACCTCTTCCTTAAAAATCTAACCAGAGGGATCAGCAGCTGGCGTAATGATTACGTCACTGGACTTCCATGTAGTCAACCGTGCTTCAAGTCCCGGACCCGGCGGTTTAGACTCACACCGGGTGTGTGTGTGTGCATGCCCAAGATCCTGAGAGGAGAATGGAGATGGGACTGTGGCGTGGCCATCACCTGGGGCGGGGGGGATTTCTCGCTTTCTCTCTCTTTCTGATTAGCAAAAAAATCTAACCAGAATTCAGGATTCATTGTCACGACCCCTCAAAGATTTCTATTTCCTACCCAGCAAACCTAAACGTTTCGGTTGTACTATGTAGGTTTCCAATTTAGTACAGTTTCCCTGAGAAGGCCCTCTCATTTCTCCATGACCTCCAAATGTGTCTTGCACAAGACCACTTCAGTCAGGTCAAGCCTAGATGGGGAGCCAGCTGCTCCTCCGCCCTCCGAACTGGCGCAAGGCTGCGACGCAGAGCTCAGCACACGCTTCTGTCCACTGCGAGACTGTGCTGGCTCTTCTCACAGCTCACAGGTTTAACCTCAGAGCGTCAGCTACTACTTCCTGACATTTCCATGGCAAGAGTCTGAAAATGCTCAATGAGGTCTGGCCAAAAACTTGGGACCTTTGGCAGGACAGTACAATTATACTCCAATCAGCACCAATGAATGCTGACTGTCATTACTTACTCGAATTACAGTCAAGTGTAACTTAAAGGTGGGTATACATCTTGGGACCAGCAGATGGTGTAATGGTTACGTTGCTGGACTCCCACGAAGTTGACCAGGGTTCAAGTCCTGGACCCAGTGGCTTAAAACTAACACCAGACACATGTGCATGAGTGCCTAAGATCCTGAGAGAAGAATCAAGAAGGGACTGTGGTGTGGTCATTCCCCCTGGGGGGAATCTCTCACTTTCTGTCTCTCTGGTGAGTGCATACTCTATAGCAAAAAATCTCCTTAAAAAAAAAAAAAATGGGGATACATCCTAAGGAACACATTGTTGATTATTTTCGTCATATGCAAGCAGCATATAGTACTCTTCCACAGACTTAGATGTAGCCACTACACACCTCGGCCTAAAGGACCACATCTACTCAGTCTGTGGCTTCGTGGTGTGGTGTGGTGTGGCACATGGACATTCCTGCCGGCCTCACGGGTGGAGGTGAGCGTAGACAAAGCACACGTGTACAGTAATAAAATGCACGCCCCCTGGAGTACATGCCACACAGGAGGGCACAGAGGACATCGATGAAGCCATCACCTGTGGGCAGCACGTGGACAGAACTTACTGTCTGCCCGGCCCTCGATGCGATCTTCACATCAGGAAGGAATCGGCATTTTCCAAACATTGGAAGTTCTACGGATTAGACTACTTTATTGATACTTGTTTTCAACATAAATTCGGAGGCAAGGAGTACTTCTTCTTTCCTCTTCATCTGTTCTAGTCTACATAAAACTGACAAAAGGGGAGCAAAGCCCATGAGGCCATCTTTTCTTCCTTTAGCATCTAGAGCATTCCATGTAAGCTTTAATAATTCATCCCAGATAAGCAGAGGCATGGTCTTCGAGCACACTGCCCCAGGTGCTGGAGGACAGCGCTGTAAAAGCTGACTACAGCACCTTTACAGAAGACAAAGCAAAGGAACACACAAAGTTCGGGCTGCTCAGTAGTGAGCCAGCAGGAAAAGTAAACAGGCGGTCACAGAAGACTCTGTTCCTTTGTCGTGGCAGTGAGACAGCTCCACTTAAACAGGACCACGGACAAAGCAACGCGGTTTTCACCTCACTGGGGCTGACTGGAACATCGATTCTCAACACAAAGTTTCATCCTTCATTCCCTTTATAGGTTCTTTGTAATCAATCCCTTGGGTTTACTGTCTCCTTATCAACTTAATTATTTTTTTGCCAGGCAGGAATATTATGAGCCTATCTTTTTTTTTTTTTTTTTGAAAAATTATTTTATTTAACTTTATTTATTTTAACTTGACCAGAGAGCAGAGAGAAACAGAAAGAGAGAGAGAGGGGAAACGAGACAGCAAGCTGCCAGGTCCGGGATCCAAACCATGGTCAGCCATGTGGGAGTCCAGCACTCCCAACCACCACACCACCTGCCAGCCCCAAGCCTAACTTTTTTTTGGTGATAAACAATCTCCCCCAAAAAAGAAAAGAGAGGAAAAGCTAAAAGGATAAGGGGGTTAATATATTTAGCTTTTAAATTCAGTATTACACATTCCTCAATCTCTAACTAGTCTCTAGTTATATGACTCACACAATGTTGCTTTAAGCCTTACAATGTCTTTGATCATTTTTAAAAGATTTAGTCTTATTTATTATTTAATTTGCTATAGGACACATGCACTCACCAGAGCGAGTCAGAAAGGGAAGAGCGAGGAAGCAAGCTGCCAGGTCTGGGACTCGAACCGTGGTCAGCCACGTGGGAGTCCAGCATGTTAACCACCACGCCACCTGTTTTGCATGTTTACTGTGGGTAACTGGAAAGTCTACCTGGCTAATGGCTCAGAGCTCGTGTCACTAAGTAAGAGATGATTTTGCACCTTATAACATGATATCCGTAAGGTAGGAAATCACACGCTGGTACTTCTCACAGCTGATAAGTTTCAACCTAAAAGCATCAACTGGTACTTTCTGCAATTTCCAGTATACCACAAGATGCTGAAAATTTTATCCTCAAAAGGATAAAATAACAGTAGAAAAATGAGATATTCCTACCAAAGGCCAAACTCCTATTTTTCTCAAAACACATTTTTTGTTTAGAATTATTTATTTTATTTATCATTATTGTTATTTTTTTAAATTTGACCAGAGCAAGACACAAGGAGAGAGAGAAATGAAGAGAGAGAGAGAGAAAGAAAGAAAGCAAGAAAGCTGCCAGGTCTAGGACTTGAACTGTGGTCAGCCATGTGAAAGTCCAGTGCTTTTAACCACCATGCCACCCGCCAGCCCCTCAAAACACAAATTTTAACATTTCTAAATACACCAGATGGCTTTGTAATTAAGAAAATCACTCCAATTTTCAATCTTATAAATACACCTCTATTTTCAATCATACTACATAGGTACCAAAAAGGAATTACGTTGAACCATATTAAAGGAGCATTACGAAGGAAAATTCATTTTTTTTGGTTTAAGAGAGACTTTCGTGTGAATGTGCACGCCAGTGAGACAGAGAGGAAGAGTGAAATCGCCCTCCAGGGGAGGTGGCCATGCAGTAATCCCTTCTCCTCCATTCTCCTCTAGGGATTTTGGGCATGTCCACCACATGTACCCAGGCTGAGTTTGAAGCCACTGGGTCCAGGACTCAAACTGTGGTCAGCCGTGTGGAAGTTCAGGGACGTAACCATTATGCCACCTGCTTGTCCATGCACAAGAATTCTCACATAAGCTCTAAAACTGACAGGGAATCTTTAAAACAGATCAACAAATTTCAAAGTTACAAGAAAGGTTAACGTTTATTTTTTTCTAAATTTGCGTAAAAGAAGCCACTTTATAAACACCTAGAGATTGAATCTTAAAAAAAAAAAAAGAAAAAAAAACAAACTTCTCAACTCACATTTAGAAAAACTTAATAGCACATTTGTAAAATCCATCTCTATAGTAACATAAGCAAAAACACTAAAAGCAAAAGCCAGCAATTTCCAAAGAATCGCATACACAGAGGCAGCCAAGGCTACCAGACCCACTGTTCTCTGAATAAGATCTGAAAATGTTAAGCCTTAAGAATGAAGACTGTGGGTCTAGCAGATGGCGTAATGGTTATGCCACTGGACTCCCACATAGTTCCAGTTAGAGTCCTGGATTCAGAGGCTTAAAACACGCGAGGCACATGTGCAGACATGCCCAAAGTCCCACCAGAATGAAGGAGCTGGGATTACTGCCTGGCCATTCCTCCTGCAGGGTGATTTCTCACTTTCTGTCTCTCTCTGATAAGACCACATGCCCTATTGCAAAAAATCTCTCTCTCTAAAAAAAAAAAAAAAAAAGACAATGAAGAATAAGTTTATGTACTTGGTCCTTTCTCTGGCCCTTTTCTTCTTCCCTCTCCTTCCTGCTATATTGTCTCCCATTTGCCACATACTATGTTTCGAAATTGAACAAAGAACCCTGAAACTGCATTGTTTAATAAATATAATGCCACCTCTATCCTCTCTTTGTTCAAAATAAGACTGAATATGGAGGAAAAAAAAAAAGGAGGGATGCTGCAAAGCACACAGCTGTGCTACAGGCTCAGTCTGGCCTTGGGCAAGCCTTCCCACCACTGCAGAACTTCACCCTGTCAACTTCCGCTTACTGGAAGGCCTAATCATTAACCTACCAACTAAGCCTTCTAGTAAGGTAAGGCAGTTAGAAAATACGTACTCAGCCCCTGGTGGTTCCTGAACAAATGAGTAATAGGTGGCTGCACAGCCGGGGAAGATACATGCTTCTGAGGACTCCTTCCATGCCACGTTGAGCCTGGATAATTTGGGGACGAAGGGTTTGACATCTGCTGATAACTTGATGCCCTGAGGGAAAGAAAGCATTGTGGCTGAATACATTTGGAAATCAACCAAATGTTAAACAAAGGAGAATGGAGAAGTGCTCTGTTTATTAACAATCCCAGGAAGGGCAAGCACAATGATGTTCAAAAAACTTGTCTAGTAAAGACAGCTTTTTGTTTTTAGAAAACACAGTCTTGCAAATAGTGAAAAAGTAATAACTACAAATTAAAGTGGAAGTAAAATTCAACCCTGACTACAGTTAGGACAAGTTTGCCTAGGTCTAAATTTGGAATAAGGGTATCTTACTTCTCCCTTCAGGTAGGGCTGAGAACTGCAGAGCCACTGCGAATGTCCCTGGGTTATGTTTACCAGTACAGCATCCAATCCCATTGCAGAAGTTTTTTTTCCACTGAATTTCTCAAAAAGATGCACAAAATATTTGCCGTTGATTCAGTGAATCACTGTCTTGCTGAATTAAAAAGCAAAAGCACGGTTTCCTAGGAACTCATCCCAACTCCATAAGCTCTCGGAATTCCTTCGTTTTTTAATGTGTAGATTAAAACAGATTCACATTTGGAAACTTTTTTTTTTTTTTTGAGAGGCTTTTCACTATAGTGCGCATATGCTCGCCAGAAAAAAGAGACAGACAGAAAGCGAGAAATCACCCTCCAGGGGGGATGGCCACGCCGCAATCCCTTCTCCATTCTCCTCCCGGGATCTTGGGCACGCACGCACACGCGCCCGGCGTGAGTTTAAGCCGCCGGGTCCAGGACTCGAACTGCCCGGTCAACTACGTGGGAGTCCAGCGTCGTAGCCATTACGCTAATTGCTGGTCCCCGCATTCGGAAACTTTGACAACCATGTTTTTTAGGACCAAAGCGACTGTAGGGCCGGCCCCGCGGTGACGGCGAGCACGCAGGCTGAGTGAGGGTGAGCCACCCGCCCGGCGCCCACCGGGGACAGGGTCTGGACGCCTGACGGCTACCCCCGGCAGACCGAGGCCGGTGCGAGAGTCGCGGCCACCGGCCCGGGCTCCGAGGGCGCTCCCGCCGGCCCAGGCAGCCCCGGAGACCCCGGGCAGTTCCGGGCCTGCGCGGGCGCACGCGGATCGCCGCGGCCTGGGCCTGGGCGGCGCTGCCCGCTCGCTGCCGGGGAAGCGCCTGCGGGGCGCAGAGCCTCCTGCCCGCCTTCCAGGGAGGCCCGCGGGCCGTCCCAGTGCAGGCGTCTACTAGGAGGGAGGAGCTCCTGGGTATCGGGTACCGATGGCCGCCCCCGTGACTTGGCAGTAGGCTGGCCCTAAAGGTACCCCACCACCCCAAGACTGCACCTCTAACACCTCTAGGTGGGCGACAACTCTTGGTACCCCAAACTTTCAGTAACCGGGGTAATTTCAAGCCTATGTGTTCTTTATTTTTGAAGAGGCTTTTGCTATAGTGCGTGTGCTCTTGCCAGAAAGAGCGAGAAATCACCCCCAGGAGGGATGGCCACACTGCATGCAATCCCTTCTCCATTCTCCTCTCGGGATCTTGGGCACGCACATGGCGTGAGTTTAAGTCACTACATTAACTACATGAGTCCAGCGACGTAGCCATTACACCTGCTGGTCCCAAGTCTTAGACATTAAGTGTGCTTAGGCTGAAGGGCCATACAGTGGAAGGTGGCTGGACCCATGTGCGTCAAGCCCTGGGATCTATGGCAATAGCTAAGGGTAGGTGGCAGGAACCCCCCACCCCGGGTTGCAAGCCTCGTGGATTAAATGGATAAACTTGAAACCACTTGACAACACTGGTTAATGAGGTTAGGACATTTTCAGCTCTTGTCTAGGTTCCTCCCCAGGTAGGTGCTCCGGATTTGGGAGGACCTATGAAAAGCACCCTTTTCCACATAAATCTTATGTAAATTTACTGGCTACTCTTAAAATGTTTCCAGAGTTAAGATACAAAGTTTGTTTCTGCATTTAACCAAAATATTTTCTTGGCATCTACAAAGGAAACCAAAACAGATGCAAAATACCCACACGGGATGTTTTATAACAGTGCTTCTGAACTTATAAAAAATGCTATGATGATATCTTACCCAAAACATCGTCACTCAGCAAATGGAGAGGATACATGGGGACTGGGTGGTTTCCTGCAACACCACTAGCACTGGCAGTTCAAATAAGTGGAAGTAGAGCATACAGTACTAAGTTGACCATTTCAATGGAAGGGACAAATGATAAAGCCATCATATCTACTTTGGCTCTAATTTAAATATACATCCCTGGTTCTTAAGTTTGTCAAGTGGATTTAATGGTGACCCCATCATACCAAACTATGTTAAACTCATTCATATTTATTTCAAGTAAGTTTATTTCCTCAGGGCTAAAACTTTAAAACTGAAATGAAACAATCACTAAAAAACACACACAATAACTTAAAACAGTGATAAATGCAACATACAAACTTTATTTAACAAAAGTAACTGGTAAAGTCAAACAGGCACTTATATTAAAAAGAAAAACTGACTAGAATCTTATCTGACATTCCTTACAGTAACCTACTTGCAGTTGCATCTGACTGAGCTCTGTTGCTGTGAAGAATACAGCCCATGCACAGGTATGGAGGAATGGTCTGTACATCGTTCAAGTATTCACTGAATACTACCTTATATACATACACATATACATTAAATTTGAAAAAGATCTAATCGGCAATCCCCAGGTAGACTTCATTTTTGTTGATCTTTTGGAAGAGGCCGTCTAAAGAGAAGAATATGCGGTTCTGTGGAAAGAGAATGTTTTATATCATTTTAATATAATATGGTTAATTATCACCTAACAAAAACGCAAATAAAAACGAGTCTACATTCACTGGGCTGAGATGTCCAAAATGAATTGTTTCAAAGTTATGAATAGTAAATAGAAGAAACCACCCGAGACTGAGAGCATTCCTCCAATACTTTACTTTTACCCACCATAGAGAAAAGGGATAAACAGGCTGAGGAAAAATTATCCCTACCATTAGAATCTCAATTCCAGTGAAAAGAAAAGGTTATCGCTTGCTAAGGAAAAGGCATCCCATTCAAACCAGATACAGGGCCGTGCACTAAAGCACACCCAAACGTGCTGACATTTGTCAGAGTGCAGGTCCCAGGAGTCCACCCCACAGATTACTTCAGTATGTGGGGCACCAAGAACCTAAGTTCAAAGCATTTTGAATGATTAAGTAATGTAACCCCTCGAAGTTTTACTCTAGTTTACTACTAAATAGTTGTAAACACATCTGAGTTGTCGTCTAATTTTGCCTTAATGTGGAAGGTAATCCCTTTAAGGGGACTAAAGGAAAAGACAAATCACCAATCACTTCAAATTACATCAGTTTTGTATACCTAGAACTTAAGGACACTTACAAGTTGTCTCCAACTAAGTACTTTCTTTTATGGGGCCAGCAGGTGTCCTGGTGGTTAGGGTGCAGGACTCCCCACGTGCTGACTTCAGTTCAAGTCCTGAACATGGCAGTGTGTGTGAGAAGGGATTGTGGCATGGCCAACCCTCCTGGAGAGTGATCGCTCACTTTCCCTCTCATTGCCTGTCTCCCATGGTTGTAGGTACCCGATGGTAGAACTATTCAAAATTAATTTTTAAAATTGAAAATTTTAAACAAAAAAAGGGTAATTTTAAAAGGAACAGAACTTTAGATTTAATTAAGTTTTAAGACACTATTAACCACGACAGATGTTTTACAACAGAATGGCTATTTTTTCACTTTCTACATTAATTCTGTAGGTACAACAATTTACCTTCATTCCTGTGTCAATGACTTACTCTAAACACTTGGAATTTACAATGATGAAAGTAGTCATTTAAGTAACTGTCAGACTTAGTTACTTTGCGTTTTTTACTGAGCAGTTACTAAAAATATCCTGATAGCCACGTCTACTACTATTTACCTTGGTTTAGCACTGCTGTACCACACTTACCTGGCTCGTGAATCATGTAGTGAACCCAGCCTAGGCTCTGTTGGACACCAAGTCTCCTCCACTCCTCTTCGGACATCAGATGGGTTTTGGGCACTTGTTTGGAAAGTTCTCTGGGTAACATGACATGCCTATTAAAAGATAATAGCCAATTATTAGTGCTGTATCTTTCCTACGATTGTGATTACTTTTTTGTGCACCTTTACTATTGATATATTTGAATTTTCCACCTCCAAAGTTCTTGAAAGAAACCGTTCCCCTCCTTACTACTAGTGTCAATCTTGAAAACTATCCTTACCTTTAATTCTGATTTTTGATGGCCTACGTTCAAATAGAGAGTTAAGAGTGTACTATCCAAAAACAAGGCACTTTATTTAGGATTAAGTTTTTTCCATGGCAGAATGCTTTTGAGTTGTCATTGTATTCTTCAGAAACAGAACCCACAGAGCTATGGTGGGCACAAGATTACACATCCTAGTCTTTTTTTTTTTTTTTTTTTTAAATTACTTAACTTTATTTATTTGCTTATTTAGCCACCAGGTCCGGGACTCGAACTGTGGTTGCCCATGTGGGAGTCCAGTGCCCTTAACCACCACACCACCTGCCAGCCCCAATATCCTAGTCTCTCTTGCAGCTAGCTTTGACCCAAGGACTAAATGCTGGCCAACAGAAAAGCAGAAAATAAGCAGCTTCTATGAAGTGTCCTCAAAGGAAAGAACATGTTCATCTTTTTCTTTCTTTTTGCTAGATACACAGTGATGTGAGCAGGGAGCCACTGTGGAAATCGAGAATTGCAGAAGCAACCGCAGACAGGATGGTGAAGCAACTGAAATTAAGGAGCGTAGGCCTTGACCGTAGGTGTTACCCCAACCCCAGACAACTGAACTTACACGTAAAGGAAAAAGAATTTAAGTCAACTTGGGTTTCCTAGTACAAGTTGATCCAAGTTCTATTAAGTTGCTTTATGCTTCAAGTACTTCCATACTCATCAGTTTCTGTACTCACTGTTGAAATGCTGCTTTAACATCAAACTTTCTAGGCACTATACAAGTAACCTGTTACTCTTATCTTCTACATTAATTGCTGACTAGTCTCAAAGAAAACGCTTTCGTAGCATCTTTCCATTTCACAATGTCTACATAAATGTACCAGTTACTTATTTAGATAGGTCACCATAGAACCTGCTCCCCATCAAGATTCCACTGTAAAGGGAAAAGCTGAGGCATCAAGCTAACATGGGGATTCTGTGTGTGTTTTACTGTATGGAGATACCACTTTTTATCAGGGGAAAAGAGGCCACCTAGTTAGTAGTCAAACCTCAGTGGTTTTCTCAGTATAGAGTCCCCATAAAAATTATCTCAGAGTATTACTGTCCCGTTTCATAATCCAATGTATTTAAGCCCAGCTCTAATTTACACTGGTAAGTCACTTCAGATATGCCCGGGGTTTTCTTCCGAAGGCCACAAACCATGTAGTAAATTAGGTTTGGTGCCTCTTGATGTAAATATTATCAAAACTACTGTTAGCAGAAGTCACAGAAAATACCTAATTTAATGTTACGACGTAAAAAGAAACTTACACAGACCCAGAGATCCTTATCCTGAACACTAGGAGCCAGACACGGTTCAGAATGCAGATTTCGGAAAGGTATTACCGTTTATACTGGGAATCCAACATCCCCAACCAGGATCCCCTAACGTCACACAACATAACGTTATGTCACCATAATCTAACGCGATTAGGACAGCAATTACTTGCAACTTAAAGAAGAGGTAATCTTAACACTTCTTCTGTGGGCTGAAAAGCGCATGAGGCTTTGAAACAGCGCAAGTACTGCTCATTTTAAAGCTCCGGAGAAGCCCCCGGCTCTCCTCCCATGCTTAGGTTAAGACTTCCACGGCTGGGAGGGTAGGATGACACCCACAATACCCTTCTTCCTCGAACCGCTTTCTGGTAAAAACAAGGTCCCGGGCCGGCCGAGCCCCACGCCCTCCCCCACCGGCCGCCCCTCACTCGCGGTGGCTTCCCAGCATGCAGCGCGCCGCCCGCCGGGGGCCACGGGCCGAGGACCCCGAGCGGAGCCGCCCCGGCCTCGCTGCGCGATCGTTAGGACTTGGGTTAGACGACTGCTATGTCGCCACCGCCAAGCCTGCTCACTTCGGGTTCCCGGCCAGGGCAGCTTTCGGTACCGCTAACTTAAAAAGCGAGCAGCAGCACCCCGCGTCTCCATGTTCGGAGACCGGGATGACGACCGACACCCGGACCGGCTCCGCCGCGCCGCGCCGGTGTGCCCCGGCGGCGTCCTGCAGCAACGCGAAACAGGTCCCCCGCCGCGAACCGGAAGCGGGAGGGCTGGCTCAGTAACCGATCCCGCCCCGGGCCCC